CAGCTTTGACAGAGTCACTGTCAAGCTGCCGGAAACTGCTAAGATTACCCATAATTCTTCATAATCCTTCTCCCACTTCATCAAACCTCCTTAGAATCCCTTTCTCTTTCCCTTAGAACCTCTGCCCCTCATAGGAACTCACAGCTCTCTCTCTCTCTCAAGTGCTAAACTAATTATAATTTTGCTCCCATGCCATAATCTTCTAATGCAAAGCTAGAAGATTTATCTGTAATTTGTCGTTATTTTCATCGGTAAAGGTAACCAAGGAGTTTCCTAAGGCGTCGTCACCTTTTCGAGACATCTTTGGAGCTTAATCTTCGGACTCAGACACAAAGGGGACACTTGCATCAGATTGCTCCTTGCAGCAGCCCCGCCCACTAGCTGCCGGAAGAAAAAGACCCCTACATAAATTGGCAACTTCACTGGGGATTAAGCCACTATCTGCACCAATGCCTCCAAAGAAGAAGACCAGAAGCAATAAATCGGAGGAAATAAAGAGATAAGAACATTTCCTCTTTCTTTTTCTTTTTCCTTTTGTTGGCTATCTACTTTGTAGAACAAACATAATATAAATTACTCACATGCTCTCTTTGCTTGTGTCTTAGATCTCCATTCTCAAGCAAAACAAGATCTTGTAAGAGGACTGGGGGCTTCAGCCAACGTGCTAGCCGCTAACCACCGTCATCAATTTTTGAGGCTAGCTCTGCCGTTCACCTCTCCGCCATGATACATCATCAGCAAGTCTGGCCATCGTCGTAAATCACCTTCGTAGCAGCCCTCACCACTCTAGAGTTGTGAAAACGCGGTGAGAGAGGGAGAAGGAACACTTGCTCAATGCTCTCAGCCTCATCTCTGCGAATGGCTTCTCCAAGATAAGATTTTTATTATCATGCCTTGTTGATCTCAATATAGCATATATATTTGTTTGTTGTTTTAATATATCCATAAAATTTATGTTTCATTGAACAATCTCAAGCATAGACAAAAGCACATGCATTCGGTCTGCTCAAGTCCAAAAAAAAAAAAGATTGATTGATTAGTTGTTATTCATATGGTGCACCAGCTTGCATCATTTTCTTGTTATGTATTAAACCACCTTTCAATTTTGCATCTCCAGCAAAATTTCTCAGGGCCTTATTCCACGCACTATTCACTTATCTTACTTCTTATCATTTCGTATCAATCCACCTTTGTGTTAATCAATCCAAGTTACACATTGCAATGTAGATGCCAACTATGCATGCTCAGTACTAAAATCATACTTGCTTAGCATGCTTATGTCAATTATGTTAGTCATTTGCAAGCTACAATGCTTATATTATTTTTGTAATCACCGTATGCTTTGGTCATGCAACATTATATCGGTCATGTGCAAGGGACTCAAGCCTCCAAACAACAAATAAGAAAACAAATGCTCTCATGTTTCCTACCCAACATCTCAACACACTGCCATTATCATCCATTCCTTAGACAAATCTCTCTCTATACTTCCAGTCATAGAAGTTCAAGCACCACTGGAAGAGTGGCTGGAAGAAGAACAAAGCCAGTTGTTGAAATCCAAACACCACTGCTGGAAGAACCGTTGCCAGAAGCACATGCTACCACCGAATCATGCCAAATTGTCACCATTGCAAAGGAAGGAATTCATTGCAATCACCACAGCAGCAATTCCAAAACCCCAAATGAGCTTAAGAATCCATTATTACCAAAACCACTATCCCCAGACAAAAAATCTCCTTGAAATTCCAATTATGTCACTATGACCTCCAAGTTTGCCATCACTTGCCAAGAACTCAAGCTGTTGTAACCCAACACATTTGCTGCAGTGACCACATGCAAAGCTCAAGCTTCAATAGCCAAGCCCAAGCTTTTGGTTCCTAAAACATGTTCACAACAGCTGCAACAAACAAAACCTAAGTTGCCATAACCGATATGCTCCAACGCCTCAAGCACTTTCTAAGCCTTGACCATTCCAATGACCAAGTTTAGGAGTCAAAACCAAAAGGCTATCGGGATGTCTCAATTGCCACAATTCCATAATCAAGCATCATCAAGCCCCAAGCCTTAGTCAAGAAATCCAAGCACTATGCTTTACTCAAGAAGGAATACATCTCAATTCATGGCAAATGGAAGGAAAATATTGCGAAGGTAGTGCTATGATACTGCCGGAAGAACCTAAATGCTGTCAAGATGAAGTTTCTTTTACCAAGCAATCATAATTTTTGAAGCGATGTCAAGCTTTCAAGAAAAAGGGTGCTGGAAGCATATTTTCCTATATTCATCCATTCTTCACCTGCAACATCCGACCACTGCTTGCCATACTCTAAGGAAGATCTTGCACACCGAGATACATGACGGAACTCTAAGAGGCAAGCTATTGACAAGGACCCCTTGCCAAAATGAAGGGGAAAGTAGATGGCTACTGTCATTACATGCTTTGATGACTTGCTCGACGACGACGTATTGTACCACCCATGGAAGAATGACCCAAAGCCACCGGAGGCTACGTGGGAACCTTGTGGAAATATGGAGAAGGCCTACTAGAGCAAATATTCAAAATCTGCAAACTATAACACCTCATGGCTACTTGCGGATGGATGGGAGGATGGTTCCAGCAACAAAGTATTCACATTGGACATGTCGGAAGAACACCACTTTGGGGCTTCATTTGGTCAACAAGATTATCAAGAGATAGCTGCTGTAATCTCTCATAACCTCACAGACGTTGAAGAAATTCAAGGGGTTATGAGCTGAAAATCACTCTTTGATTAGTTGGGTTGTGAGCCGCATACAAGTAAAGCAGCAGCTGTGGCTATGTTAAATATCTCTGCTGAGCATGGCAGCCTAGTACAACACATGCCAAATACATGCCAACCTAAGCCACAAGCTTTCATGCTACTGCAAGCCATGCACACTCCTTGGCTCTTTCCTACTTGGGGGCTTGATTTGATTGGAGTATTCATCAATGCAAAGTGGCTCAAAGTCTTATTACTGCTGAGTTGCTTTTGCACCTATCCTTTTGTTTTGGCTTTTCAAATTTATTTCAAAGATGAACTCCTTATGTGTTTTAACTATATGCTTTCATGACTTTTCTAGAATGCACCACCAATATGGCATGCCAAGGTGTAAGATGGTATGTGCAATGAGAATGGAGTATTTTGGAAAAAGAAAAAAGCCTCTAGAACTTTGCTTTTACCTTCTTCTGTTTTGCAAAACTTGTTCTTTGATATAAAAAAAATAGACAAACACACTTTTCATTAAAAAGCTAAGCTTCTCAGCAGTAACTATACCAAGCAAAGCCACTTAGATGGGATCCCGAACTGAAACAAGCATCAAGCCTAAGTAAAACGATGTGGAGTATGCAAAGTCAAGCTATTACAAAGCAACGAGCAGTAAAAGTGTATTTTGAGGTGCTAATGAAACCGTTGACTCCCAATTGGAATGCTCAAAAAACTTCACGACATCCGGGAATTCTTACAGAAGCCTTCGTGAAAATCATGCATACAATGGTCTGACCCTTTTAAGGCACGCAAGAGGGTGCATTTTAGGCCAAATGAGTAGACAAGCCTTGCAAAAGTTTTAAAGAGCAATGCATCGAAGATTTAGCTTAAAGGTCCTGCCAAAATTTCAGCAGCATATACCTTGTTTTTAAGGCTTGCCAACCTGTTAGAAAGATTTCAAGAAGTTCACAAGAGCAAATTCTCCCAACCAAGCAATATATCTCTATATATATATATATATAAGATGTACGGATTACAACATGCCTCAAGCATTCAGAAATTAATGCAAGTTCCAGCGGTTCAGTAGTACATTACAAAGTCATAACGATATAGTCGTTAGATTATCTGAAAAGTACACAGCCATCGCAAAAACAAAGTTACACATGCTGAAGATTAGTACATCCTATGGTATCAAGAAAGATGGAAGCTGTGCACCAAGCTAACTGACCCCAAGCCAAAGAAAACAACCTGCGAAATAAAATGAGGCAGCACTGCCGGAAGGTGCAGAGCAGTGCCGGCAGCTATGTCAGATGTTCCGAGAAGAGGAGGAGTATGAGGCAGCACTGCTGGAAGGTGCAGGGAAGTTCCGGCAGCTATGACGAATGTTCCGAGAAGAGGAGGAGTATGAGGCAGCACTGCTGGAAGGTGCAGGGAAGTGCCGGCAGCTATGACGGATGTTCCGAGAAGAGGAGGAGTATGAGGCAGCATTGCTGGAAGGTGCAGGGCTGTGCCGGCAGCTATGACGGATGTTCCGAGAAGAGGAGGAGTATGAGGCAGCACTGCTGGAAGGTGCAAGGAAGTGCCGGCAGCTATGACGGATGTTCCGAGAAGAGGAGGAATATGAGGCAGCATTGCTGGAAGGTGCAGGGCAGTGTCGGCAGCTATGTTGGATGTGCCGAGAAGAGGAGAAGTAGGAGGCAGCACTGCTGGAAGGTGCAAGGAAGTGCCGGCAGCTATGACGGATGTTCCGAGAAGAGGAGGAATATGAGGCAGCATTGCTGGAAGGTGCAGGGCAGTGTCGGCAGCTATGTTGGATGTGCCGAGAAGAGGAGAAGTAGGAGGCAGCACTGCTGGAAGGTGCAAGGAAGTGCCGGCAGCTATGACGGATGTTCCGAGAAGAGGAGGAATATGAGGCAGCATTGCTGGAAGGTGCAGGGCAGTGTCGGCAGCTATGTTGGATGTGCCGAGAAGAGGAGAAGTAGGAGGCAGCACTGCTGGAAGGTGCAAGGAAGTGCCGGCAGCTATGACGGATGTTCCGAGAAGAGGAGGAATATGAGGCAGCATTGCTGGAAGGTGCAGGGCAGTGTCGGCAGCTATGTTGGATGTGCCGAGAAGAGGAGAAGTAGGAGGCAGCACTGCTGGAAGGTGCAAGGAAGTGCCGGCAGCTATGACGGATGTTCCGAGAAGAGGAGGAATATGAGGCAGCATTGCTGGAAGGTGCAGGGCAGTGTCGGCAGCTATGTTGGATGTGCCGAGAAGAGGAGAAGTAGGAGGCAGCACTGCTGGAAGGTGCAAGGAAGTGCCGGCAGCTATGACGGATGTTCCGAGAAGAGGAGGAATATGAGGCAGCATTGCTGGAAGGTGCAGGGCAGTGTCGGCAGCTATGTTGGATGTGCCGAGAAGAGGAGAAGTAGGAGGCAGCACTGCTGGAAGGTGCAAGGAAGTGCCGGCAGCTATGACGGATGTTCCGAGAAGAGGAGGAATATGAGGCAGCATTGCTGGAAGGTGCAGGGCAGTGTCGGCAGCTATGTTGGATGTGCCGAGAAGAGGAGAAGTAGGAGGCAGCACTGCTGGAAGGTGCAAGGAAGTGCCGGCAGCTATGACGGATGTTCCGAGAAGAGGAGGAATATGAGGCAGCATTGCTGGAAGGTGCAGGGCAGTGTCGGCAGCTATGTTGGATGTGCCGAGAAGAGGAGAAGTAGGAGGCAGCACTGCTGGAAGGTGCAAGGAAGTGCCGGCAGCTATGACGGATGTTCCGAGAAGAGGAGGAATATGAGGCAGCATTGCTGGAAGGTGCAGGGCAGTGTCGGCAGCTATGTTGGATGTGCCGAGAAGAGGAGAAGTAGGAGGCAGCACTGCTGGAAGGTGCAAGGAAGTGCCGGCAGCTATGACGGATGTTCCGAGAAGAGGAGGAATATGAGGCAGCATTGCTGGAAGGTGCAGGGCAGTGTCGGCAGCTATGTTGGATGTGCCGAGAAGAGGAGAAGTAGGAGGCAGCACTGCTGGAAGGTGCAAGGAAGTGCCGGCAGCTATGACGGATGTTCCGAGAAGAGGAGGAGTATGAGGCAGCACTGCTGGAATGTGCAGGGCAGTGTCGGCACATGCATCAGATGTCCCGAGAACATAGGGTCTAGGGGAATCATGCTGCCACGCACTATTGCCAAAGCCAAGGGGAAAACCCACACATGTAGACAATCTTGGGAAAAGTCACAGAAGAGGAATTTCCCAAGCCATAATGATACAAACACAGCAAGACGACATGGCTCACGCCTATTGACATCCCCGAAATGCTGTATCTAGTTGCTAAACCACAGAGAAGTTCTCAGAGCAATCGGGGCACCTTTCCGTAAAACCTCAAGCTTCCTTTCGTCCTCCGAAGTTAGTGTGATATGGAAGAGATCCAATTTGCCGCAATTGGGAGGTGGAAAATGTTGGCCACGTCCTCAAGTGTAGGGAGTAAACTCTCCCTATGAACAAATGAAAGTGTGTGTCTTGGTGCTCCATCACCTGACCACATGACGAAGTGTCTTGGCTTCAATATGAGTGTCACACGCCTTGGAAAAGAAAATTGCATCCAGCACCCCAGTCCGACGTAGGATGTCGCAAGTAGAAGGGTCCCTCAATTCACGGTCAACCCATTCTGACCAACCCTTGCTGATGCCGCACAGATACTGAAAAAATAAGGGGATTGCCGGAAACAAACCTTTCTCTATGCAACACCTCGATATAGACGCAGGATCAATCACTGAAGCAGTTTCCGGCACTAGCTCTTCGCCTATTGCAACATGTTCACAAGCATTCTTGAGCAATGGAGGGGGTCTTCCCGTCTTCAATTTATCATCCAGTGAATAAAGGTGGCCACTAATAATTGACGACGGGTTAGTGGATCTCATGGAAGGTCTTGACAAGCGATGAATCCCTGCAAGAATTGCCAATAAAGAATATGCTGAAAAAACGGCAAAGCATAAAGCTAGTTCTCTGTGTTAAAGCCAAGCAATCTCCACACTAGCATGCAAGCCATATGAACTTTACAAGCCAAGCAAAGCAAGCTATCTCATGCCAAGTGAAATGCATAAACAAAAAAATATTTTTGAATCATCATGCAATCTATTACTCGAGCTCATGATGAGCAAATTTCCCATTCCATGCTCAATCAATCATTCAAGCAAACCCTTTTTCACAAAGCAAGTGCTACAAACTGAGCACTATTTACCTCATAGTAACCTCTTTCACAAAAACAAAATCCCTACGAGTTACACAGCATCCTTGCAGACCCATCATACACATGCTTATGTCTATTCCTATAAAGCCAAAAAAATAAACAGTTATCCATGACCAAACTCTAAGCTCATAAAGAAAAAACCAATGGTGCTTTCCTCAAGCTTTCAACAGCCTCTAATCTTATGCATTAATCATGCGATTACAAGCATGCGCTCGTAATGCATATAGTTCAACAACAATAAAGAAAAAAGGGGGTCAAGAACGCAGCACACGCAAAATATACACCAAGCAGGGCAAGTCAAGCTCAGGCCAAAGGAAACGCTTAAGCAAATACCCAAGCAGCATGCAATTTATCCATGGCAAGCAAAATTTTCAAGCAATTCCCATGACAAGCAAATTCTCCCTCAAAATGCAAAAAGATTCAAGCATTGCAGAGCATGCACTCTGTCAACATGGGAGAAAAGTCCAGATTTATTCAAGCATGCAATCATAAGAAAAACAAGCCTAGGCCAAGATATCAGTCTATATCTATTCCTACAGAGTTAAAAAAGAAGGACCTGAGATTCCAGTGAACGAGCAAAGCCCATGGGCATAAAGAACCCAACAAGCCCCTCAATAGATTCAAGAAATTCCAAAGAGGAAAGGGCATACCTTGTCAATCACCTCAAAGGACGACCTCAAATACACCAAGAAAGAAGGGAGGTTGGTGCTAGAAGAAGGGTAGTTGGTGCCGGGAGAAGGGTAGTTGGTGCTAAAAGAATATCGTATCTTCTATTTCACGATACCATCTCCTTCAGCACCATCGTTGATCTCATTATTTATACAACCAGCTGACCCATCATTGCAATTATCCCCATGTTCTTCTGCGCAGACTTTGGCACCATCATTATTTTCATGCATACTTGAGAATTGGTCTTTCTGAAGATGGATACTTCGGCAACTAATACTTGCAAGAACTTCTTCTCGTGGCTATATGACAACTTCAATTAAAGAAGAACGATCATGTTTCAAGAGTACATTTGCAGCTGAACATGCTTAGGGATTGGTGCAGAAAGTTCTGCTCTGGCCTGGAGAGGGCTAATCGCGACCACTTTTGGTATAAACTTCTTTGGTCTCTTAGAATTTCACCGCTTTTGGAAGTAAAAGCCAAGTTGCACCTTTCACTTAGAGAAATAACTTTCTCTTCCAGCACTAGCCTTGGATGACGATCAAGCAGAGAAATGCATAAACAACACGCTCAATGCTAAAACATGCCAAGCAAAACTTATAGACGAGCTTTCCTACCATGTCAACTGGACATCCCACCTTTGGAAAATCGCTAAAAATCAAGCCTATAACCAAAAAATCCCAAACTTTCCAGATTCTTACTAGACATATCAAACTTCATTTTCCTAAAATTTCATTACATTTAGAGTTAGGGAAGGCTGTCAAACAGATTCCCAAAACATGTCACGCAGCAGGAATTGCACAACCCCAGCAGCTTAGCCCATACTTTGAAATTACTCCAAAAATTCATTTTTGCTTCATAAAGCTCTAAAGAGCTGTCTTGATGTGTTATGATGAATAAGACAATCTCATTCAAAGTGGATGTAGGTATCAACAGCCGAACCACTATAATTCTTTGTTCTTGTCTGTTGCTATTTCATAGCCTTTATTTCTTCAATTATTCAAGGGGAGCTTGTATGAGTCTTGTTTATCACCAAGCTGAAATACTAAATCACAAGCTCAACCACAGAATTCAGTGCTTAATTTACAAATTTTGAGAAATACAAATGAACTCAGGCTTCAAGAAAACAAGCATGCATCAAAGGCGTCAACATCAATCCATACACATACTTTAGAAAAATGAGGGCAGAGAACACTACAATGGTTGGATGATTCTCAATTTTGGATATGTTGTAAACAACACAATCTCAAGCAAATTTCATAAAGCAAGCACAGTCACCAGAGTAGTAGATATTAAAAACAAGTGCAGAAACCGAATCTGCAGAA